ACAATGTCTTGTGTATTTTTAAAAAATAATTTACCATATTTTAAAATTTAGGTCCATATAGTTACTCTTAAAAATGTCACTTCTTTAGTCAAAAGGAAAAATAAAGAATATCGTTTCTAGTATGCATAATTACATGCTTCTATAATTGGCAATATGTATAGGGGACTGTAGGGTAGGTGGTAGGTTCAGGTTTTAGCTAATGCTCCAAACAGACAATTATAATAGTCTCACACTACTGTGACTCTGTTTATTGGATCTGGGACCTCACAACTTGTGACACACAAAGGCTCTATACAATACTTTGTTATGAAATGAGTATTAGTTCTAACCTCAACACCAGGAGTTCCATTGAATTTTCCTTTTAAAGATTATTATCATTGATTTGCATTCAAAGAGTAACATTTCACAATCTTAAATATTTCCTAAGTAATGTAGTGTGTGTGTGTGTGTGTGTGTGTGTGTGTGTGTATAAAATGTGATTTTACAACCTGGTTTCCATAATAGGAGAAAAATGTCATAATTAAATTAGGAGTTTGAAAAACAAAATGTGTTCAAATTGTTTTGATCTACCATGTTTTTAGTCAGGGATACTTCTTTCATAGAATACATGAACTATGCATATATATTTAAAAAATTCAGTAAAAATTCACTTAACATTTTAAGCAAATGTTCCAACTAGGTTATTATATAACATTTATTAAATATTATTTGCTATATTTGAGCTCTAAACATAGCAGAATTTTTGAAAATTTCCAGGTTTACTATAAAGAAACTGCTACATTTTTTCAGGTTTTATATTTTTACTTGTTTTAGATGTTTAGCTTCTGATTCTACACAAATTTAAAGAAATGACAGGTTTGCTAACATTGGTATTCTACTCTATCCATTGAAACATCTACATTAGTTGCTTTAACTTTGTCATTAAGTTATTTAAATGGCACAAGTATTTAAAGTGCATAATGGACTTTTAAGGCTATATTTATAACCAATTAACACAAAACAATAAAGCTAACCACAGGGAAAAAATTATTTTCTATAGTTGGGATAGATTTCAATCACAAATATGGTTGGATAAGCATATGACCCATTGAAAAGATTCACATTAAGGCCTATGCATATGTAGCTTCCTTGTAAAATCTACGATGGCTTTTGATGTGAATTTTCTTTTCTTTTCTGTTTTTTGTACTAATGTGATTTAGGCCACTACATTTTTTTTTTCATCAGTATAAATTTAATAGGCAGCATAAAAGTCTAATGTTAAAAACAACTGCATTTGTTTAACAAAGGAGAATTCATTTAACATGGGATGTCTTGTCGATGCCTTCCAATGTGACAAAGGTCAGTCAGAAATGCTGATGCTCTGCACAGGCCAGAGAACTTTTCACCTCTTCTGTTTCTTCTCGTTTCTTTTGGCAAAGAGGAGTAGTTAAAATAGCAGAGGTGTAAATGTATGATATGTCAAGATCATTGTATTGTCTTGAGCAACTAATAAAAAAAAATAGCAGAGGTGTGGAGGAAAACAAGGTTGGGAAAGGTAAAGGAATTGGAAAAGACTGCAGCAGTTTACAGGTATTTTATGGGAGCAATGGATCTTATATTTGGGTGGTGGAATTGAAAAACAGAGTCTCAGAGAGGGCCTGGAGGCTCATGAGATGGTGTCACAGAGCAAGGAGTTTCCTGATAGGCACCACTGAATCTTGATCCCACAGCAGAGAAAGTACAATTGAAGATATCATGTTGTAACCAGACTGGTGTTTAATTACCTCGTATCATTTTCCTGTCTGTTCTAGTCTTAGGACACAATAGCACCTATCACTAAATCACGGTGGTGGCAATAGGAGGTTGCTTGTACCAGGGGTTGGCCTCTTTCCTCTTCCTACTCCACATACAGAAATCTCTAGGGCACTGTTGTGATTCATTGTAAAGTGAGAGTTCCCTGTTATTCTATGATTTATTCTCATTCCACCAAACCTTACATAATGTAATTTATTTTTCTATGCATTATTGTGGGCATTTGTAATTACTGACATACTGTTTTCTATTTTTCACATGGAATAATTAAATTTCTCTGTGAAATCACGTGCATAAATATAGATAGTGTTTTAAAAAAACGTGACAAACATCATCAGTTTGGTTTGAATATTTCATTTAAATCTCTCAAGTTTAAACCAGGCAATTCAAAAATCTTTCTCACGTTATCTGATAGACAGTTCATCACATTTTATTATTATTGGAAAAAGATTAATTTTCACTAAGTTTTGGTAAGGCAATTATTTGGCTAATCAAGCAGGGAAGAAATTATCGTTCAAAAGATGTTTTCTTTAAAAATTCTGCACTCCTGGTTAATATTTCTTTTACTCAAAAAATTTTTCAAATACATTATTTCTCATTTCCTGAAAATGCACTGAAATTTTTATTATAAATATCCTATAAAAATCAAAATTTAAAACTATGGAAATGTTCATGCATGATGACAAAAATATATGCCAAAGGATTTTCACTAATGCTTTGTAACAGGGAAGTAGAAACAATCTTGATGTCCATTCAATAGGAAACTAATTCAATTAAAATATAGCCCCACAATGGATTATGTAGTAATTTATAAAAGAATGAGGTAAATATATGTGTGTGTGTGTATATATATATATATATATATATATATATATATATATATATATAAACTCTTATGGAAAGATATCTACCAATATATAATAAAATGAAAAAGTCACAGCAAAGAAATAATATTATTATTCTATTTATATAAAATACATGCATGCACATGTATACACACACACACACACACACACACACTCATACACCCCTCCCCACACGGTTATTTGTAAATTTGTAGAAAGTGTCTTGAAGGACACATACCAAAGCATTAACAGTGGTTACCCCTTGTAAATTAGGGTGTGGTAAGCAGAGGAATTTGTGTTTTATAATTCTATATGATTTGATTTTTAAAGGAGAATATATTAAATTTATAATAAAAACATATAAAAATGTCCAGCCTTTGATAGAAAGATACTTATTTAATGTGCACACTTCTTTTTCTAAAGTAGTTTTCAGAATTTATTGTAAAGATTACTACTATTGTTTTACCTTCAAAGTTGGCACTGACATATAAAGAATCCTTTTTATTTTCTTCTTTCTGTGTAAGATTTTGAAATTTAGTTTTTAAAAAATCACAAATAATTACTTTATGTTTCAGGGAAAAGCCTAATATGTATCCACCTTTAAAGAGAAAAATGCATTCATTTATTTTAAAAATCTATGCAATAGAAAAATGAAATCCTGTGCAATACAGTGCACACTGTCTCAGCAATGAAGAAACAGCCTTCACTGATAACAGACACTACTTTGTAACTGGCATACTGGAAAGTTTTCCAAATCATATGAAAATACCTCAAAAGATAAGTTATTTAAAGAAAGGAATAAAAATCCCTGAGTAAGCCAAAGACAACAGATACAATGACCTAATAAAATAGATGATTTATGACCAGAGAATATATTTTTCAACTATTTGGTGGATATATATGATATATATATGATATATATATATGATATATATATATATATATATATATATATATATATATATATATATATCTCCTCTATATTTAGAATTCATCATATTCACACATTGCCAAACTGATGCCTAAGTCCTGGAAAGATTAATTTAAAAAACTTGAGCACTTTTATGTCAGAGCCATGTATTTGGGCTAGAGAGTCTCCTTCTCCCTAACTAATACTAGAGCACCTAAAACAGACACTCAATAAATACCTGTCAAATGGTTGGATGGGTGAATGGAAAGATGAATTTGTGAAACTAGAGCATCACTTTTTCTTGTCTCATGTTATGCTTTAAGATACACTACTCTAGAATCACAAATGTCACAATCGCCTTCAACAGAAAATAGATGAGTCCAAAAACCCAACAGCTATTCTGAATTATTCAGAAAAAAAATGCAAGCATGCTGCCCTTTCACCCATGAGCTAAACAAAAATGGTAAAATGTCTTACACTCTGGAGCCCAATAAAGACCAACCATCTATTTCAAGTTATATAAGTTTGCTGATACATAAATGCTACATCCATGGCAGATAGATAATTTTGAGAATTTAGAGACAAGTAAAAAAAACCTTAGGCTTCTTAGAAGTCTTTTCTGCCTTTCTGCTGATAACAGACACTACTGTTCATGATGGTAACAAATGAATATACTAATTAATTGTCCTTCTCTTATTTTCAAAGATTTCTCCTCTGAGAAAAACTTTCTGAAAACACTTTCTTCATTTTTTGGTTTCCTTCTCCAAAAATAGCTGTTTTTTTAGATGAACATATGAACATGAACGTTTTGTTTTCAAGTAACCCCTCTATAAGAAAATACCAACAAAGCATTATGCATTTGAGCAGTAATTGAGAAATCCTTTCAAACTAGTATGTTTTCATGAAAAACTTGAGGACAAATAAAAACAAATAGGAAGAGAAGATAGGGAAGACAGTGGAGATTAAAAATTCAAAACCTTGATCTAAAACAAATGATCTATCATCACAAGTTGGTAATTAAAAAAAATAGTGGAATATGGAATTTGTTTAAAGACTTAAGTAATTCTCTTACTAATAAACTTGTTCTTTGAGTTAAATAATCTCACATGAAGGATTTATCCAAGAGTAAAGCACGTGTGCTATAATGGAAGAAATTGAAAAGACTGAATATTTGGGTCTTGAGGACTTACTAAAAGCAACCTATTAGTTTTGTCAGTTTACAAAGTCCAATACACATCAGGATGACCATTGCACAAATTTTTCTGTGTGTGACAGAAAGAGAGAGCAAGAAATAGAAAGGGTCAACATCAAAATAGCCTGTTGTCTACATTGACTTTAATTCAATATGTTAGCAAATTATGCCCACAAAAGAACTATCATCTCTAAACAGGTCTAAGAAAATGTGAAGAAGAAAAAAAAATAGTGTAGAGGCATGGAAATAGATACGCACAAGGTTACTGGGCCTAGTTTTAACATATATTTATATATACACATTCACACTCCTACACATATACACTTCATTAACTCATAATTCTTCTCATTAATTTAGTTTCATTATTTCCCTTTTGGGCACTGAGAGTTTTAGCAATTACAGTATCTGAAAGATAAAGGAATTACACTGTTTGAGTCACAGATGAAAACAGATGCCATCAGTGAACTTGTATCTTCTGAAAAGTGACCTTGCTTATTGGGACAGACAGGACCTTAGCTATTCACACCAAGTCCCACAGATAGGCTGGAGGGAGGTTTAGGGTTCAAAGACAATCCAAGCAATGCTCAGAAGAGGCACCCTCAGAACAATTCTGAGGAAAACCAGTCCTTAGTTAAAATATTTTCTTCCAAGAAACACAAAGGTCAGAGATATGATACAGATGTTTATAGTTTATGAAAGTGACCATTTTTTTTTTTTAAAGCAGCAATTTGTTTAGGGTAAGGACAGGATACCATATTGGGAGTGCACCGGTAGCCAGAGGCATTGTGGCTTGCAGAGAGCCATGGGGAGACGAGATGCAGAAGGTTCCTCGCAGTGTTTTCAGGGTAGAACTCACAGATGGTGTGCCATCTTGCACAGCTCCTCCTGGGACCAGCTTAGTGGGGTGAGATCACCTGCATTTTACCAATGCATACCTGTCCTTGATCGCTTTCTCTGTTTCTTACAAAGGCAATAGATAGGAAATACAAATAAACCTAGGGATTAAAAAAACATAAAGGCAATTAGGGGGAGACACATTTTGGTTTCTTTGAAAATTTTCCCTTTCATTTATTTGCATACTCTTTAGAAATAATCATTTTTTTAGCAATACATGGACATGAAAAGAGAGAAGATACCTATGCTATGAAATGTTTATTATTATTTAATTCTTTATTATTTCTCTTTAGCTCTTTCTGCCTTTTAACATTCTCAGTGATATAGTTTCACTAGGGAACAATACTTTCTATCAAAATATCAAACCTTAGGTTTAAATCTTAATTATCCATAGTCGAATCATTTCTACACTATGACAGTCACATTTCAGTTTCAAGTAGTACAACATCTTATTTAAGAACACCTTGTGGAGCCAGATATCAGATGTGACTCCCAGTTTTAGGACTAAGAAGGTCTTAGTGAGTCTTAATTTTCTCAAATGTAAAATGTAGATAATAAATAATTACCTCATCCAGTCCTGACTTAACTGCAGTAACTGAAATTTTTATTTGGAAAGTAATACATGTGCAGGACAGATAGAATTAGACAGATCTAATTCTATCTGTCCTGCACATGTATTACTTTCCAAATAAAAATTTATGTATGAAAAATAATTTTATTTAGCAAAATTAAATAATTACAATTAATAAACAATTAATAAAGCAGCCTTTATCACAGTGTTTAACTTAATCTTTTATAAAGCAATGGTTCTCAAAGTGTGATCCTTGGACCAATAGTATTAACATCACTTGGAAACATTTTAAAATAAAAAATCTATGGGCTGTGCCTCCATACTCAGTCAGAAGTTGCAGGTAGAAACAATCAATCTATGTTTTAGCTAGTCCTTCTGGTTATTTTAAGACTTGGTAAAGTCTGGAAACTATTGGTTTAAGGTGCATACTTTAATATACTTGTATGAATGAAACTATACAAATCATTAATAGGTTTTCTATTTGTCCATGCTCAAGTAGATGTTGATATGTTCCTGTATACATGGAAGGCATTTTTTACTAGGCCAAACCAAACACCTACTAAACACCAAAGCCTCTTTTCTTTAATGCTCCAAATTGAAATCAGAATTGGAGAACTTTAAGTCTAGTTCACCTGACTCTTTCACTAAAACACAATTGCATCCTTGGCATTAAGAGGAACCAATAATGAATCCAAGTGTTCAAAGACTGAAAAACTGTCACACAAATATATCCTACGAGAAACATGATACTCTGGATTTAGAAGTCACATGCTGAGTAGCTGTCTAAAATAGGCATGGAACAGAAATTATGGCCACTAACAGCTGACTCACGTTATTACATTTACACTCATTTTGTCTCCATTGTCATGTGAAAATTCTAATCTCAGACATGATAAGTGTTTCTTACCAATTACAACTGCTATGGCCCCTAGTGCTAATCCCAAGACCAGGATTAGAGGTGCAACGAATAATTTTCCAGCTGGAAAACAAAAAGCAAAATAATTTAGTATCTAAAAGCTAACTTTCCAAACACTTCCAGCAATGCTTTTAAATATCTCAGTGCAGGTTATTTTTAAAGAAGTCTGATGACAATTAAGACCTTATTTTCCTAAGAAATATACAAGGTGTAGAACAGCTAATGAACAAATAAGTTCATCATGGATGTCCTGGGCAATCTGTGTCAAACATCTCAGAAATCATTTGTCTTTCAAAATAACAACAAAAACAAATCTAAACCAACTGGTTCACTTTATACTTCCAAGGCCATCCATCTTTGTGTTTTCCTTTAGATATTTTCCATTTTCAAGATGCTGAAAGATTAAGAAAGGAGTGACACGTTCTGAGTTGGTAGGAGAAAATCCAGTTATTATTTCACAAATGAAGAGCTGGTAGAGACTACAGAGAAATTCCACCTAAGACCACATCTGAAAAAAAAGTGGTTTATTTATTTCCTGAGTCCAAAGAAAATTAATAATATGACCTAGTAGAATGAATGACAAATGGAATGTTGGTAAGATTCCTCTTAAGGAAAATTACCCATAAAAATCATGTTTGGAATAATTCAAGTAAATAATTTTTAAAAATTTAAAAAGTAAGGCGCTTATAATATAAAAAAGGCTACATGCTGGTAGGGTACTGCGTCTGGCAGCATCAGCCAGTATTTTCTCTCTAGATGAATAATTTATCAGTGGTAATGATCAGTATAGTCATATGTGAACACAGAACAAAATCCACAATGGGAACCCCACTGACTTTGAAAGAAACTAGCGCACACAAAATAGGCCAGAAAACAGTGTCTGCTCATTCCGTAGCACATGGGTTAGGGCACGTGGCACAGTTGTACAGCTGCAAAACTCCAATGTGGTAGGAGAAGTGAAAGAGGAGAAAAATCTGCAGGAGGATCATACAGCTGTTTAAGAATGAAATAGCAATAGCATCCTATAAACAAGGAACAGTAAGTTCTTTGTTTTAATCACCAATTACACACAAAAGAGAAAGACTATGCAGCTACTGTTTAGAAATCTTACAGAAAAAAAAATTAACTTATTTTTTAGAAATGGTCTGTGGAACCAGATGACCAGAAGTATATGGAACATAGCTTTTAATATCTCATTTTAAAAGATAGTTTTAATAACTGTAATGATTAATTTGAATTGTCAACTTGATTGGATCAAGAGAGGACGGATATTAAGACATTTATGGGTGTGGAATGAGGGTGTGTCTAGGAATGATTGGCATGTGGGATAGCCAACTGAAATGTAGACTATCCCTAATCATGGGCAGCATTGTTTAGGATGATGGCTTGGGGGGAATAAAAGTTGGAAGAACAAGGAAACAGCAGATGCCAGCTCCATTCTTCTGGAATGGGTTCTTGATAGCAACTGTCTTAAGATATTGGACTCCTGCTACTTTACTCTTCCAAAGCAGACTCTGATAGTGATTCTCTCCCGAAACGCGGTTGATCCCTCTTGTACTGGGGCTTCAGCCTCTTGGACTGTGCAGCTACTGATTCTTCCAGCTCTACAGCCTGCAGAGTGCCACTGTGGAATATTACCAGCTTTGGGTCCTGCTTTTATAATTATACTTCCTGTTCATTCTGTTCCTCTAGAGAACCCTAATACAATATGTAATTAATATTAACGCAATGTCTAACATGAGTTTTTTTCTTTTTTATTTGTTCTAATTAGCTATACATTACAGTAGACTGCATTTTGACACATCATACATAAATGGAGTATAATCTCTCATTCTTCTGGCTGTACATAATGTAGAATTACACTCGTCATATAATCATATATGCACATGGGGTAATAATGTCCAATTCATTCCACTGTCCTTCCTATCCTCCTGACCCCTCTTCTCCCTTCACTCCCCTCTGTCTGATACAAAGTACCTCTATTCTTCCCTAGGTGCCTGCTTATTGTGAATTAGTATTTGCATGTCAGAGAAAATATTTGACCTTTGTTTCTTTGGGATTGTCTTATTTTGTTTAGCATGATATTCTCCAGCTCCATCCATTTACCAGAAAATGCCATACTTTCATTCTTCTTTAAGGATGAATAATATTCCATTTTATGTGTGTGTGTATATGTATACACATCACATTTTTTTAACCCATTCTTCTGTTGAAGGGCACCTAGTTTGGTTTAGCTATTATGAATTGAGCTGTTATAAACATTGATGTAGCTACGTCACTATAATATGTTGATTTTAAGTCCTTTGGGTATAAACTTAGGAGTGGGATATTTGGGTCAAATGATGGCTCCATTCTAAGTTTTCTGAGGAATCTCCATACTACCTTCCATAGTGGTTGCACTAATTTGAAGCCTCACTATCAATGTATGATTGGACCTTTTCCCCCACATCATCGCCAAAATTTTTTGTTGCTTGTATTCTTGATAATTGCCATTCTGCCTGGAGTGAGGTAAAATCTCAGTGTAGTTGTGATTTGCATTTCTCTAATTGCTACAGATGTTGGATGATTTTTCATATATTTTTTGATCAAATGTATGTCTTCTGTGAAGTGTCTGTTCAATTCCTTAGCCCATTTATTGGCTGGGTTGTCGAATTCCACCATCAAACACTCAAGGTCACTCCAGGTGAACTGGGATACACGAAGCAACCACACAGAGACAGAGAAATATCTTTTTCTTTAGGTCCTGTGATGGCTCCTCTAAACTTAAGGGTCTGTGGAGAGAGAGAGAAAGAGAGAAAGAGAGAGAGAGAGAGAGAGAGAGAGAGAGAGAGAGAGAGAGAGA